GCCGCCGCGCAGCGCCCCCTGGAGGGCGGGAGGGGCAGGGCCTCCGCGCGCGTAACCTGGGGTCAACGGTGCGGGAAGGAGAACTCGCGCTGCGGAGAAAAACAATTCGTTTTAAATCTTTGTGAAACGATTTGGCGTGAAAAGCCCGTCCCCACGCTTGGAGGAGGAATGAGAGCACGCAACTGAGCTGCAAGCAGGCAGCGTGACCTGAACGCCGCCTTCCCGTGAAAACTCTCCCGTTTTCACTGTCAGAATTTGACGAACGCAGCTACAATGAACTGTCAGAGCCTGAGGGAATTTTAATTATCTTGTGGAAAGGAAACTCGTACAACCATCAAGCTCAGCTGACAGCGGCCAACCTGTGACTCAAGATTTGTTCTGCAGTTTCCGTCTCTATCTGTTTAAACGATGTGAAAGGAGAACGGAAGGGCTCGTTAAGAGACGAGGCGCAAAGTCCACACCGAAAACGGGAACAAGCAGTAACCAGGTAAGGGGTGTTCTGGTAGGAAATGCGACACACCTTTTTTATTTCTTGATTCTTCATGCTCACATGCCCTCATTGCAAAGAACACCAGGAAAAAAAAAACAACCACCCAGATCCCAACATCTAAGAATTAACGAACACAAAGGAGGAAGGAGCAAACCTTCTGCGAGGCCTCCGGCAAGAGGCGGCAGCGGTGTTTGCCTGAGCGAGAGCGGCCCAAGCGCGCGCCCGCTGCCGCTGTGCCAGGCCTCCTGCAGCGCCGGGTGCGTGCCACTGGGTTTGCGACCTGGTCTGCACCTTTCTACGCGGCTCTGCTCCAGAATCCTGTTTTCCCAGAAAAATCCTATGCTTCCTAAGCTATCCTATGCTAAGCTATTCCTTCCTATTCCTAAGCTATTCCTATGCTATCCTAAGCTTTGATGACTGAAAAATCTCGAGGATGGAGGTCTTTTGCCTTGGGCCACAAAAAAAATGAGTCTTTCTGAATTTGCACACAGCCGAAAATCACGGTGTGCGAACCTCAGATAACATATTTCATCCACAGGGACTACGCAGTGGAGGGAGGGGCATAATGCTGTCGAGGAACGTGCAGCAGGGAGCAGTGAAATGATTGCCCAAGGTCACCAGACAAGCAATTAGAGAAGCCAGAAACGGCACCCTCAGGTGCTATTACCAAACCTCAGGCTCGTCCTCCAACCTGCTGGCAACAGAGGCAGACGTGTCTCTCTCTGATTTGCGTGGTGGCCCAACGACTGTGTACCCACAACGCATGGCAGGTGAGCGCGCACCAGGCACGGATAGACACAGTTGCTCCTAGGGTGGGGGGACAAGAGCATCCGTAGCCCAAATCCCTAATAAATTCAGGCCTGAGAAGCATTCACCACTGAACTAACAGCTCTGAGCTCTGAGCTGCTTCATTCCTCTAATGCAGTATCAACTCAGAGTTCAAGAGGATGCTGTATGTTTCCTTATTGTCGTGCAGATTTTTTTTTGGCCCTGGTCCTGCAAATACATCCTCCCGTGCTTCAGTTCCTGCTCTGCCACACGTGCCCACAGCAGCTCGCTCCAGTTCACAGCAGAGACTCGGTGACTTGCCCGCGCCATCTTCTGTTCTGTCCGTGGGAAGGAAAAGAGATGCTGCAGACTTGGCTGCCGTCACCGTCATTAAATCCCGGTTGTCCTTTCTTCCTCTTTCTTCCCTTTCACCTTAGGCCCCCCCGCTACTTCCAAGGGTCGAGCAACAACCAAGGAGTAATACCAGTCGTGACAGTAATTGCACAAATTTAGCTGGCTTGACTGTTTTAACGTATTAATATAAAGTGTGCCTCAAAATAAGAGTTTGAGGATCGATCACCAGGGCCCCGCCAGGCCTGGAGTCCGATGTGGCTGGGCGCGGGCGGCCGATTCCACGCCAGTCCCTGGCAGACCCGCGCGTAAGCTCCCGGCGCTGCGTGCAGGGCTGCCCGGAGCAGCGGGCCAGGCACCAGCGTGTCCCAACCGACCCAGATCCTTAAAAAATGGATTT